ATTTTCTTTTTAATTTTTTCCTACAATTACTATGGAAGGTTTATCAAAAACAAAGAGAGGAAAATCATTCACTACTCAAGAAGATGTGGCAATTTGTATAGAATTTGCAATCTCATGCTCATTTTTGGAGAAGAAATTTTGAAAATTATTGCTTGCTGCAGAATGATCAGTCAAGAACACAAGTGTCTATCTTATCTCGATGGGGTGTAATCACAAAATGTTGTAACAAATTTCTTGGGTATTTAGCGCAAGTCGAAAATTTACACCCAAGTGGGATGTCTCAAGTTGATATAGTAAGATTTCATCTTCATTTTTTAAGTTTGTTTGTTTGTTTGTTTGTTTTGTTTTGTTTTGTCTTTTTTTAATTTGTCTTATATAAAAATTAACTAATTAATTAATTTAATATTTTATTGGTATAGATACTTCAAGTAAAACTGTTATACCATCAAGATGAAAACAAACATTTTGCTTACAAACATTGTTGGTCAATCTTACAAAATAATATCAGGTGGCAAGATGTAACTCCTACAAACATGGTAAAATCAATGATACATACACCGTTTTTCCCTAATTCAACCCCGATTCCCCTATGAATAACTGTATTTCTCTTGAATACGACAGTAGTCTAAGTGTTGGTAACAATCCAACTGTTGGTAATGATCAAATCGGTGAGGGTAGTGTCTTTGCAAGTGGTAAAAGGCTTATGGGTAGAAAAGCTGCAAAAAATTATTTCGGAGAAATTAAGTGGTTGAAGTTGAATCCAAAAAATGAGCATACAATTGGAGACATTTAATCAACACCTTACTAAGAAGGAAAGAAAAAGAAAAAAGTTGAAAGAGAGGAAAAAAAAAAAGATTCAAGTACTGCAGGAGATGAAAAAACTTGAGATCAAAAGATAATAACATGAGATCAAAAAATAAGAACATTTGATAATGACTACAGACATTTCTCATTTGAACCTTCAGACGAAAGTGTATTACATAATGCAAAAAGAAAAAAGAAGAGATTTTTGCCAAGTGATCCGCAAATGTCAACAACCCAAACTACTATTTTCCTCTGTCTCCTGATGAATAATTACGGGAGAATGCATTTTTTAATTTTGCAATATCATTTATTTTCAATGTAATTTTTAGTCTTTATTTGCAATGTCATTTTTATGTTCCAATGTAATTTTGAATATTTAAATTTATTTTTCAAATTTTCAATTTCTTTTTGTTTTTTTATATTTTTCTAGTCGGGTATAATATAAAAATATAATCTTTTTTACAAACATATAAAAAAAAGTCACAAAAGACAAAAAATAAACAAAAAAAAAATCATTGAAAAATCTATATTCAAACAACACTTATAAATTTGGAGAGAAAGTTGGTTGAGATTTGCTAAAATAGTATATGTACTATTGGAACATCATTACTATAATTTGACAAATAATTCAGTGTGTTTGGTTTGAGTTGTTTGGTTTTCGTATTTTTTTTATTTTTAGTGAATATTTTTAAAATGTTAAACATTTTTTTATTTTTTTAGATGCAATTTACTTAGATGTATCCAAAAAGTAAAAAATTTATGAAAAATATTTTAAAAAATTAATAAATATATAAAAATATACTGAATTTTCATTTTTTTTTGGGTATTTAACTAATTTTTAAAAAGATTTTTCAGAAATTATTTATTTTTAAGTTTATTTATGTTAAGTATGTTTGAAAATTAAAAAAATTACTTAAAATATTAAAAAAAATTGATAAAAATAAATAAAATATGAAAAGTAAAAAAATAAATTTAAAAAAAATATATTTTTAAAAAACTCTAATTAAGTGAATCTTACTATTTATTATTAAATTATAACTAGTAATGTTATTATCAACATCACGTTTATGATTCTGCAACATGGAGTTGTCAAATCTGACAGCCGTGCGTAGTGCGGCAAAATTATTTGAAAAATGTTTGGGAGCACTAATTAGTGCTCCTACTAATTAGGTGGTAGTGGATCTCGCTATTAATGATGTGATGTTTTGATTTTGGAGTTGTGTTTTTTTTTTATTATTATTTTTTTAATGCATTAGTACTATTAATGATGATATTTTTAGTGGGATGAATCATTGTTAAAATTATTTCTTGTCCAGGTGCCGGACGTCCACTCCTTTTTGACGTGGTGGGTACCACTAATTAATGGGTGCGATTATTATTTATTTGATTGAGATACGATTACATGATGGGTAAAGATGTGGTGATTGGTAAAAGAAATAAAATTTATTTTGTGTTAAAAAATAAAAAGAATATCAGAAGATATGGGTTTATTTAGTTTGTGTTTCAAAAATAATTTTTTGAAATATTTTTTACAAATATATTTTTGAGAGTAATTAAACTAAATAGATATTTTCAAAAAAATTTCAGAAATGTGTTTGATTGTCTTTTTCCAGAATCATTTTCAAAAAAAATTCTCAGAAATCCGTTTGATTGGTTTTTTCAAAAACAAAAAATACAAACAACCCCCAATTAGAAAAAAATAGTGTGTAAACATGTTTTTTTTTAAATTTTTAGAGAGAAACAAAACAGCACAACATATTATGCATGAGGTAGAAGTTTTACAAAGTCTGATCAGAAATTGTGTAAACACACTACAAGAAAAAGCGTTTTTGGCGACTAAAAATTCATTTTTCATCGCTGAAAGTTGTATAATTGGCGACTAAAATGGATTTAGTCGCCAAAATTGAACCCTTTTGCCGACTAAAATAGTTTAGTCGCCGAATACCAGGCTTTTAGCGACTAAAAGGCAGTTTAGTCGCAGAATGTAGGGTTTTAGCGACTAAAGGTTTTTTGGTAGCCAAAAGTGACGGTTTTTGGCGACTAAAATAATTTAGAAGCCAAAAGTGATGATTTTGGCGACTAAAAAACATTTTAGTCGCCGATTATAGGTGTTTTTCCGACTAAAAAAAGATTAGTCGCTGAAAATGAAGGTTTTTGGCTACCAAAAAAAAAATTAGTAGCTAAAAACAGTGAATTGGCGACTAAAATTCAGTTTAGTAGCCAAAAGGACACGTTTTTGGCGACTAAAAACAGATTTAGTCGCCAAAACTACTATTTTTAATTTCAACTTGTTTTTTTACCGACAAAAAAATAATTAGTAGCCCAAAAATCATAGAATTGGCGACTAAATAATGGATTTAGTCGCCAAAAGTGGCCTAAATTTTTTTTTAATAAATAATTTATTTTTTACATAAATTATATTGAATTAAAATAATTATATTTATATATATTGTTTTGTATTAATACTGTCAATATATTATATAAATAATATATATTGCAAATATATTCATGTGATGTTGTAGTGGCATAGTGGAGGGAGTGTGTTGCAAAAAAGGTTGCAATGTGGGATGGTTGGGCACGGTTCGAAACTCAGAAAAACCAAAAAAAAGTGGTTTTTTTTTTTCCGACGGAACACCTTTGGCGACTAATTAGTCGCCAAAAGTCTTGATTTTGGCGACTAAGCCGTTTAGTCGGCGATTGATTGAGTATTGGCGACTAAATTATTAGTCGGTAAATGTATGATTTTCAAAAGGCTAAAACACTATTGGCGACTAACATTTTAGTCGCGAAAGACCTGTCTTTTGGCGACTAAAAAAATATTAGTCGCCAATGCCTACGCCGACAACGTATACGCGACAAATGTGGCGACTAAAGAATTTTGTCGGGAAAAGTCAAATTTCGACTTTCGGCGACTAAAAACAGACTTTTGGCGACTAAAAATTTAGTCGCCAAAAGTGACTTTTCTTGTAGTGACAGTTTAACAGATTTTACACATTTTGGCAGTTGGTGCATAAAAAAATAGTGTGCAACGAATTGGTGTGTAAAAAAATTATGTGTAAACAGTTTTACAGTTTCACAAATTTTGCCATTTGGTATTCTTTCATCATAGAATAAAAAGAAATAAGTTCAAAACCAATAGATAATTTTTGCTTCAAAAATCACCACACAAACAGATGTTAAGGAATTGGCAAAGCATAGACAACCGAGAATAAACAAGCAAATGCCATTTTATATACAATACATGTTCTTGCAAACAAAGTCAACCCTGTTCAAAATTAAGAATACTAGATTTGTCGAATAGTATGAACATGGAAGTTCATAAAAGACACAGATACATGAAGAATAAATATTGGAGACTTGCAGTTGTTTTAAAACTTTCTACAATCCACACACATTTGGTCAACTAGTGAAAACTAGATCACAGCAGCTCACCATCTGCAGAGTATTTGGCCATACAGCTCCACCATCTGCAGAACACAGCAGCCATCCACCCAGACCAGAAGCAACAGCAGCAGAACTGATGCACAGACCTTCTCAGACCAGATTCTTGCAGATTATTTACCAAGACCATGGCATAAATTATTGTTGTTCTACCTGTCACACAGATCATCCTAAAGGAAGTCTTCAACCTGAAGGAAGCCTCCAATAGTAGGCAGCCACAACAATCAGTCCATGACCAGAAAAAAGAAAGCAGCACATTAGGCTACATGTTGCTCTAAATTTAAAACATAGAACACACAGATTCAGAACACTTTTGGCGACTAAATCTATTTTTTAGTCACCAATTGTATAGTTTTGGCAACTAATTATATTTTAGTTGCTAAAAAAATTCATTCCCGCCGAAAAACCTCCACTTTTGGCGACTAAACTGAAATTTAGTCGCCAAAACCTCTACTTTGGGCGACTAAACTGCATTTTAGTCGGCAATTCTTGACTTTTAGCTACTAAATTTTTTTTAGTAGCCAAAAAGCTTCACTTTTGGCTACGAAATTGATTTTTGTCGGTAAAACACGTATAATCGGCGACCAAACTATTTTTTAGTCGCCAAAACCTATACTTTTGGCTACTAAATGTTTTTAGTCGCCAAAAACCTTCACTTTTGGCTATTAAAATTTTTTTAGTCGCTAAAACCCATATAAT